TAGGCCTACAGATCAATGGAACAGAACAAAGAACCCAGAAATACACCCACACAAATATGCCCAACTGATTTTTGTCAAAGGTGTAAATCCATTCAGTGGAACAGGGAATGACTTTTTCAACAAATGGTGACAAACAGACGAACAAACAAAACCCAATCTTGATCTAAACTCCTTACTTTATATAAAAAGTAACTCTAAATGGATCATTGTCCTCGATATAAAATGTAAAACTATAAAATTTTTAGAAAAAAATTAGGAGAAAATCTTTGGGATTTAGACCTGGCAAAGAGTTCTTAGACTTGACATCAAAAGCGTCAAAGGAAAAATTGATAAAATGGATTTCATCAAAATTAAACACTTTTGGGACTTCCCTGGTGGCGCAGTGGTTAAGAATCCTCCTGCCAATGCAGGGACATGGGTTCGAGCCCTGGTCCGGGAAGATCCCACATGCCGCGGAGCAACTAAGCCCGTGCGCCACAACGACTGAGCCTGCGCTCTAGAGCCCGCAAGCCACAACTACTGAGCCCGTGTGCTGCAACTGCAGAAGCCGGCACGCTGTGGAGCCCGTGCTCCAAAACAAGAGAAGCCACCACGATGAGAAGTCCACGCATTGCAGCGAAGAGTAGCCCCCGCTCACCGCAACTAGAGAAAGCCCACGCGCAGCAACGAAGACCCAATGCAGCCAAAAATTAAATTAATTAATTAATTTTAAAAAAATTAAACACTTCTGCTGTGCGAAAAACCTTGTTAAGAGGTTGAAAAGATAAGCTACAGACTGATAGAAACTATTGGAAACCACATATTTGACAAAGAACTAATATCTAGGATATATAAAAACTCTCAAAACTCAACAGTAAATAACAACAATAGCAAAGCAATCCAATTAGAAAGTGGGCAGGACTTCCCTGGTGGCGCAGTGGTTGGGAGTCTGCCTGCCAATGCAGAGGACGTGGGTTTGAGTCCTGGTCCGGGAGGATCCCACATGCCGCAGAGCGGCTAGGCCCGCGCACCACAACTGAGCCTGCGCTCTAGAGCCCGCAAGCCACAACTACTAAAAGCCCACGCACCTAGAGCCCATGCTCCGCAACAAGAGAATCCACCACAATAAGAAGCCCACGCACTGCAAGGAACAGTAGCCTCCGCTTGCTGCAACTGGAGAAAGCCTGTGCACAGCACCTACGACCCAACGCAACCAAAAATAAATAAATAAATTTATAAAAAGAAAGCAAGTGGGCAAAAAACGTGAACAGCCATTTTACCAAAGAGGATACACAGATGGCAAATAAGCAAATGAAAAGGTGTTCAACACCATTAGCCATTAGGGAAATGCAAATGAAAGCCACAATGAGATATTTCTACATGTCTCTCAGAATAGCTAAAATTAATAAATAGTGACAGTGCCAAAAGCTGGTGAGAGTGTAGAGCAGCTCATACGTTGCTCTAGGAATCCGATTCAGCGATATAAAGGGACAAATGCTTGATACACACAACTTGGATGAATCTCCAGAGAACTATGCTGAGCGAAAAAAGGCAACCCCAGACATACGTACTGGGTGACCCCGTTACTGCAGCATTCTTGAGATGACGAGATTATAGGAACGAAGGACTGATGAGTGGTTGCCAGAGGCTGGGAGCCATGTGGGTATGCCTATAAAATGGCAACAGGAGGGATCACTGTGGTGTTGGATGGAAATGTTTTGTATCCTGACTGTATCAGTGTCACTATCCCGTTGTTACTATATTTGCAAGATGTTACCATTGGGGGAAACTGGGTAAAGAGTACACAGGGATCTCTCTGAATCCCCTCCTACAACTGCATGTGAATCTGTAATGATCTCAAAATAAAATGTTTAATTTAAAAACAAAGAATAGGAGCTTCCCTGGTGGCGCAGTGGTTGAGAGTCTGCCTGCCGATGCAGGGGACACGGGTTCGTGCCCCGGTCCGGGAAGATCCCACATGCCGCAGCGCGGCTGGGCCCGTGAGCCATGGCCGCTGAGCCTGCGCGTCCGGAGCCTGCGCGTCCGGAGCCTGTGCTCCGCAGCGGGAGAGGCCACAACAGTGAGAGGCCTGCATACCGCAAAAAATAATAATAATAATAATAAAAACAAAGAATAAAAAAATAATAGATAAAAGGCACAAGAAGAAAAAAGAAGGAAAAAAAAGACACAAGAGAAGTGCAGGGTGTTATGAGGACTGTGGTGAAGTTAAACAGGGGTATGTGGTAGAATGTGATGCACCATCTTGCCTGAGTCATCAGAGCTGAGAGTTAGACCTGTTCAGAGTAAAGATCCCTGGTTGTAAAGACTAGAAAATCACTTCAAAAGGAACTTATGCAAAAGAAGGGAATTTATAGAAAGTAATTGTATAAGAACTTTTGTTGCCAATGAAAGAAACCCAATTCAAACTGGCTTGAGGGGGGAAAAAAATCCGAAAAAGGCATTTGGGCTCCTATAATTGAAAGTCCAGGAGTAATGGCTTCAACTCAGGGATCTAGCTCCTTTTTGTGGCTCTGCTTCCTTTTGAGTCAGCTTCGTTCTCGGGGTGGGTGGGGGGGGTGTGACCAAATGGGCTCCAGCAGCTCCTGGCTCAAATCCCACCAGCTTGGCACCCCAGAAAAAAGATGAGCCCTGTTTCCCAATAGCTTCAGCAAAAGTCCTGGGAATGAGTCTCGATAGCCTAATCAGGGTGTCACATGTCCATCCCTGAACCAATTACTGTGGCCAGATGGAAGTGACACTCTCCTTGGCCAGGCCTAGGTCATGTGCACACCCCTAAAGTTTGGGGGTGAGGCCAACCCCACAGGAACCACACGGCCCAAGAGGAGGGGAGTAGTGGTCCCTTTACAGAATGGGTGCTGGTCAGGCCAAACCAACAGACGTGTACTCATGGAATCCCAGAAAAAGCCTGCTTCTTCATTCTCTGTCCTCATGTTCTGAATTTCCATCACTCTAGTTCAAACAGACATCCCAGATTGAGCTAGACTCTTCAGTTTCATCGTTCAGAAGAGAGAACAATGTATCTGACTGGACCAGCTTGGGACAGATGTTCGGCCCTCCTCCAGTCATCTGTGAACAGTAGGGTGGGGTCACCTACTACGCCCTTTGATGGACAGGGCAGTTCTTAGAGGGGCCAGACTGACACCCTGCAGCTGTCTATTATAGATACTCAGTTTCTAGAGGACCTAAATTAGTTTCTTATGAAAAAACAGGGGAATCTCCTAAAGGTTTTTTTTTTGTTTTTTTTTCGGTACGTGGGCCTCTCACTGTTGTGGCCTCTCCCTTTGCGGAGTACAGGCTCCGGACGCGCAGGCTCAGCAGTCATGGCCCACGGGCCCAGCCGCTCTGCGGCATGTGGGATCCTCCCGGACCGGGGCACGAACCCGTGTCCCCTGCATCGGCAGGCGGACTCTCAACCACTGCGCCACCAGGGAAGCCCCCTCCTAAAGGGTTTTGCGATAAGGGAGAGATGATGAATGGGGATCCTTGGGAGAAAGGCGGAATCCTCCGATTTCCCCTTGCTTTCCTTCTGAGGCTGACGCAGAGAAGAGCAGTGGGTATGGGAGGTGGGCTGTACTGACCTTGAGGAATGCAGGGGTGGTGATGTTGAGAGACCCAATGGGTGGCTGGTGGAAGGGGAGGCTGGAGGCCCTGAGACAGTGCAGCGTTGGCAGCAACAAAACTGAGCCCTTGATGTGTAGGAAACCAGTGATCAAGACAGAGACTGGGCAACAGGTACCTGGGAACCAGACCGGGTGCAACTGGAGCAAGGCGGGTACCCCACTTCTGGTTCTACACGTTGCTGCACGGTCTTGATCAGAGGAAGCAGGCAGGAGGCCATTTCTAGAGTGGGCGCTGGAGCACAGAAGACCAGCAGCCTGGCCAGCTGACTCTCCTAGCTCCACACACCCCTTCCCTTCTCTCCAGATGTGGACAGGACAGATTCTCCAGCTCTGGTTGACATCCACATCAGGTGAGCGCAGCCAGGAGTCCCCAGCTGTGCCCGGAGGAGGTGTGAGCAGAGAGCCTTAATCTAACAGAGAAAGAGCTTGGAAACCAAGTCAGCTAAATGGGGAGATTGGGACTGACATATATACACTAATATGTATAAAATAGATAACTGATGAGAACCTGCTGTGTAGCCCAGGGAACTCTACTCAGTGCTCTGTGGGGACCTAAATGGGAAGGAAATCCAGAAAAGAGGGGATCTATGTACACATATGGCTGATTTCACTTCGCTGTGCAGCAGAAACTAACACAACATGGTAAAGCAACTCTATCCCAATTTAAAAAAAAAAAAAAAAAGTGGGTAGTAAGGATGTTGATAATAGTGATGGCAGTAACGAGGGCAAACCTTTCTTGAGTGCCTCCTATTTCCAGGCGCTGTTCTAAGATATTTTTAATGGGTCGTTTCCTTTAATCTTTGCAACAGGCCTGTGACGCGGTACTCTATGAGGCAGACAGGCGAAACACCTTTGCCAAGGTCACTCGGGAACAAGGGTGATTTAACTCTCATGGAAAATCAGCTACTAGGGCATCTGACCCCCCCTCTGCTTTTCCATCATCAACTCCAGCTAACCTCCTCACACCCCCTCACTCGGCACCTCAAACCTCCTACGGTTTGTGGCGTGCTTCCTACTGCCTCCTGTCTCCACGCCTTTACACATGCTCTTCCCTCCTCCTGGAATGCTGTTCCCCCTAGTAAACTCTCACTCATCCTCCAAGACCGACTGCAGGCGTTGTTGTATTTTGGTCACTTTCCCTGATGCCAACCTGTGGATGGAATGACTCGCTCTCTTCTTGCCTCCCAGTGATGACCTCTGTGGTGTCTGCATCACAGTGTACAGATAATGCTGTCTCCCAGGCCAGACCACGGGTGGGGCAGGGCTCAAGTCTTACTCTTCTCTGCAGCAGCACATGCTCAGGTCCGGATGTCTGGTGGGTGTGGTTTTCTGTCCCCTGCCCACCCTCACCGTGGCACCTCTCTCCTCGTCTCTTGGCAGCCTGGCGTGGGGCTCCTTTACCTGCTGCATGGCAGCCTCTGTCACCACGCTCAACTCCTACACCAAGACGGTCATTGAGTTCCGGCACAAGCGCAAGGTCTTTGAGCAGGGCTACCGGGAGGAGCCGACCTTCATAGACCCTGAGGCCATCAAGTACTTCCGGGAGAGGTCAGTGCACATGGGGTCACCTCTGGCCACCACTGGGAATCAGAAGCCCGAGGCCCGGCCTCAGTGGCCACAGGGCGCCAGTCGAAAACTAGAGTGATCTGACGGAAGTGTTCTGGGGGGTTGCGGGTTGGAAGGGGCAGGCTGGGTGAGGCAGCGTTTGGACCCCACTATGTTGGAATTTCTGGGACATTTTAATGTTTTATGGGGCATGAGGTTGCCTTGGGCTTATGTGAACAGAGCCTGAGAAACCAAGAAGGGAATCACGTTTGAGTGTTTGCCCTTGGGCCCCATGCTTCCTAGAACCAAGACAGGGTCACAGAGAGGCAGAACCAAGGTTTCCTTCTTGGGCTGTGTCACAGCACTGAGTGAAAAAAAAGACTCAGCAGTGGGATCCGTGACGGTTGCTAGAGGAGGAGGGCTCCTCAAGGTCAGGGACCACATCTGATCACCTGAGTCCTTAGAGTCCAGCTGGGAATAGAGAAGATGACAATAAATAGTAGGCGGATGGATGGATGGATGGATGGATGGACGGTTGAGCGGATGGACAGATGTATGTATGGTTGGGTGGGTGGTTATGTGGATGAATTGAAGGGTGGATGGATGGATGGATGGATGGATGCATGGGTGGAAGGGCAAGCAAATGGTTATCATATTTCCTGGGACCATCTCCTAAATAAACTACCTGTACCCAAATCTTTATCACAGCCTGCTTTTGGGGAGCTGATTGGACATGCCATAATGCCTTTTGGTGGCAGGGAACTGAAAGGTTCTCAGGACTGATGACAGAGTCTGAGGAGGAAAAGGGGGAAGGAGACTGTGGAGCTGGGCAGCACTGAGGAGTTGGACTCTCCGTGGGGCACATGGAAGGGTTTAAGCCAAGAAGTAGTGCAGTGGAGGATGGTGGGGACCACGCCAGAACCTCCCTCTGACTGCTGCAGACCCCATCATCTCTCCCTTGCCCCATGAGCCTCCTTTCTGTCTCTTGAACACTACAAGCTCATCCCCACCTCAGGGCCTTTGCACCTGCTGTGCCCCTGCCTGGAATCCTCACCTGGCTGGCTCACTCAGGTCATGGCTCAGATGTCACGTATTCAGTGAAGCCTTCCTTAATCACTTCATCTAAATTTGTACACCCCCATACACCCTGTCCTAGTCACTCTTTATCATTGCTATTTTTTCATAGCACCTACACAACCTGACATTATTATTATTATTATTATTATTATTATTATTTTGCGGTATGCGGGCCTCTCACTGTTGTGGCCTCTCCCGTTGCGGAGCACAGGCTCCGGACGCGCAGGCTCAGCGGCCATGGCTCATGGGCCCAGCTGCTCCGCGGCATGTGGGATCTTCCCGGACCGGGGCACGAACCCGTGTCCCCTGCATAAGCAGGAGGACTCTCAACCACTGTGCCACCAGGGAAGCCCCTGACATTATTTTATTTGTTTATCTGTTTGGTAGTTTGTAGACCGGGAGCTCCATGATGGAAGGGCTCTGCTGACTTCTTCCCCACTGTATTTTGAGCACCGAGGACTGGGCCAGGCACCTAATAGGTGCTCATTTAACATTTTGGGGGTTAGTTTGGGGGGGGTGTGTGTGTGTGTGTGTGATTGGCTGAATACTTCTCTTTGGAGACCTCAGCCCTGACTGCCTCGTCCACTTTCAGCTCAAGCCCCACCATCACTGGGCAGGTTCAGCATCCCAGCGCCCCTTCATCAAAGTCCCAGGTCAGTTGTCCAATCCTGGGCCTGTCAGGTGTGGTCAGGGAGGTCAGGCCAGCCTGGCACACAGGCCCGCCTTGCTCACGGCTGTGGAAAGAGCACGTCCACTAGGAAGGTGGTGATGACTGGCAGAGCACAGGACCCGTAGTAGGTGCTCAGGAAGTGTTTACAGCAGCTGCGTGGGCAGCCTTGTGTCTAACGCTGCCCCATGAACACCGCATCTTCTGTCACCTGGGCTGTGGGAGAGCCCGGAGCATCATGGGCTCCCTCGTTCTCCTGAGGCAGAAGACAGGACCTCTTTGTACCTCATCAGCCAGAAGCTGCTGTTCGCTGGTCCTGAACAGCTCAGGCCCCAACGATGTGGGAGAAGATAAATGCTTCCCAGCATATGTGCAGAATATCACTTTACACGTTCATAACTTGAACATTATGCAGAGGTTCATCAAATTTTATTTCCCTTCCTCTCCAAGGAGAACACTTCAGCTTAGCTGGGCTGTTCATTTTTTTTTCTTTCTTTCTTTTTTTTGGTACCTTCTCTGCAAAGAGCTCAGAGCACACAGACAGATGTCTACACAGGTCTGTGGGGACCCAGCAGCAGGGCTGAACTCCTGCAGTGGCCAGAGTTCCTGAAACCATAGCCAGGGACGTGAGGGAAGAGATCCTTGAGCCCCCCTGCCCACGTTTCTTACTCCTTGGGGAACAGGGTGTGCTGTGGAGAGAATAGGGGTTTGAGGGCCCCCCTGACCTGAATTTTCCAGTTCTGTCTTCTCACTGCTATGTGACTTGGGGCAAGTCACTGAGCGCCTCTGGGTCGATTTCCGCTGACCTACAGTAGGAGAACCCAGAGCTCTCGTCATCTCGGGAAGGCTCAAATTGGACCCAGGTCACGTGGTAAGCACAGTGCATGGCACATGGAGGGCATTTCATGTGTCCCTTCTGCGACTGATACAAAGTACAAAGCTTGGGAATGACCAGCTTAGGATGGAGGGGAAGACAGTGTTGTGGATATCGGGCATCTAAGAAGCACGTTAGTAACCACAGCAGGGGCTTCCCTGGTGGCGCAGTGGTTGAGAGTCCGCCTGCCGATGCAGGGGACACGGGTTCGTGCCCCGGTCCGGGAAAGTCCCACATGCCGCGGAGCGGCTGGGCCCGTGAGCCATGGCCGCTGAGCCTGCGCGTCCGGAGCCTGTGCTCCGCAACGGGAGAGGCCACAGCAGTGAGAGGCCCGCGTACCACAAAAAAAAATAAAAATAAAAAATAACCACAGCAAACAGGTGGGTGAGGTGCGAGGTGGGCTGTGAATACGGAAGAGCGCTGTGGGATAAGACGTGCCCTTGGAGAGGGTGCAGGTTTTCCCAGGCGCCCCCCGCCCCCGCCCTTGCCATTCCTATCAGCGGAGAGCCACCCCTGACTGAGGACAAGACGGTGCCCTGTGGAGGCTGATGGAGTAGGAGGGCCCGTACTGCCGCCCACCCCACTGCACCCCGTCCCTGTCCTGCTGGATTTTTCTCTGCAGGAGCCAGTTGTGAGTCTGAGGAGTGATCGGGCAGATTCCGAACCATTTTCAGAGGTTGTGAAATGTAGTGGTGTGTGGAAGAAAGGTATGGGTGTGTGTGTGTGTGTGTGTGTGTGTGTGTGTGTGTGTGTGTGTGCATGTGTAGGGGCCAGTGTGCCCCTGTATGTTGGGCTTGTGGGGGATGGCGAGCCTGCTTCCTCTGAGCAGACTTGCCTGTCCCAGCTCTGAGAAACGTCTGGCATTAAACCCTCCCAGCCTCACCCTGCCTATCGTCCCCAAGAAGGGCGTCTTAATCGGGCCTCCCAGGGGAGGGTCGAAAGCTGCAGGACGAAAGGTAAATATCTGCACATCGGGGCTTTCTTGAATGCTTGACGTTCAGATCTCGTTTAACAATGCGGGGAAGGAAATGAGACCCTGTTGGATTGGACTCCAGGGGGAATTCAACTGAGCCAGCATCCCGCTCCCGGGAAAGCCGCCGTGGGTGGGTGGGAGCAAAGGGCCGGGGCCTCCAGGGAGGAGCGCAGCTGCCCTCCCCAGGGTCAGATCACCCCGTCACATGCCCTTGCTCCAAGGCATGAGGTGCGCGTCCCAGTCTCTGAACTTGTGCACGCACTTTATCTGCCTCCGCGCCAGAGCAGTGAGCTTTCTTGGCTTCCGCTCTGTCCCTGACACCTAGAGCCACAGATGCTCAACAAGTTATTAACTATCCGTAGTAATTATATTGTTCATTATAGTGGTGCAGTCCCCTCTGTTGCAAGCACTGTTCGAGGGCCTTACCTGTACACTCTCACTTAACCCTGTGGAAGCCACGAGGAAATAGACCAGGGCTGGAATGAGCTCTGCAGTTTATTAGTTTTGAGTCCCCAGGTGAGTCACTCACCTCAGAGCCTTCCAGCCTCTTCCATCACCTGCCGGCCCCCCCGCTCTGGTCTAGGGAGTGCAGCAAATCACCCTGGGTGCCGCGATGGGGTCTCCTGGAGGTCACCCCAGGTGGAGGGCTGGGCACCCCGGGAAAGGCAGAGGCTAGAGAAGCCTTCACAGACGAGACCCTCAAGCCAGGTTTTTAAAGGTACGCGCAGTGTGCATGGCCAGATGGGCAGTGGGTGGGAGAAGGCGTTCCCAGGCCCAGGCAACAGTGCGAGCAAAGGCCAGGACGGGCAACACGCAGGGGTTGTTAGGAAACTCTAAGCAGTTTGGTGTGATTTGAGAGTAGGGTATGGGTGGGAGTTCGGCCTGGCTGTCTCATCTCTCTCGTCCTCCCACAGCATTTGGGGTGGTGGTGGGGGGGGTGCTGGCGCAGTAGCGGACTGGATGTTACTGGGATGAGAAGGCGGCATGGGGACCGTCCCCAAGCCTCCTTCCTGGGTGCCAGGCCTCACGGGGCTCCGGGCAGATGCAGAGCAGCTGCACCCCAACCTGGGGGCGATTGGCTTGGACATAAGTCGTTCTGGCATAGTGGCGGACCACCCCCTCTTTACCCATCCCCACGACTGGAGCAGAAAGGTCCGTAAGGACCCCACTCCCCACTGGTTCTGCTCTCTCTCCTGTCTGTTGTCACGAACCTTTGGAAGGGCTAGTCTTCACCTCCTCACCTCCCCTCATGGCTCGACCCACTGCAAGCTGCCCTCCACCCCTGACTCCGCTGAACCAGCTCCCAGAGGCCTAGATGATGTGCACACACCCTCCCTCCCAGCTCCCACCAGCCACTCTTCTGGTCTCCAGGCAGCCCTTCCCACCCCCTCCTCCTTGTTCTGTTAAATGGA